GTAATTTTACGCCCATTGTAGTATTTTTACAAACATTGTAGTAATTTTACACCCATTGTAGTATTTTTACAAATGTTGTAGTATTTTTACGTCCATTGTAGTATAGTTTACAAACATTGTAGTAATTTTTACACCCATTGTAGTATTTTTACAAATGTTGTAGTATTTTTACGCCCATTGTAGTATTTTTACACCCATTGTAGTATGTTTACAAACATTGTAGTAATTTTACACCCATTGTAGTATTTTTACAAAAATTGTAGTAATTTTACACCCATTGTAGTATTTTTACAAATGTTGTAGTATTTTACGCCCATGTAGTATTGTTTACAAACATTGTAGTAATTTTACACCCATTGTAGTATTGTTACAAACATTGTAGTAATTTTACACCCATTGTAGTATTTTTACAAATGTTGTGGTATTTTTACGCCCATTGTAGTATTGTTCACAAACCATTGTAGTAATTTACACCCATTGTAGTATTTTTACACCCATTGTAGTATTTTACAAACATTGTAGTAATTTTACACCCATTGTAGTATTTTTACAAATGTTGTAGTATTTTACGCCCATTGTAGTATTGTTTACAAACATTGTAGTAATTTTACACCATTGTAGTATTTTAAAAAACATTATAGTAATTGTTACACTCATTGTAGTATTTTTACACCCATTGTAGTATTGTTTACAAACATTGTAGTAATTTTACACCCATTGTAGTATTTTTACAAATGTGTAGTTGTAGTATTTTTACGCCCATTGTAGTATTGTTTACAAACATTGTAGTAATTTTACATCCATTGTAGTATTGTTTACAAACATTGTAGTAATTTTACACCCATTATAGTATTTTTACAAATGTTGTAGTATTTTTACGCCCATTAATAGTATTGTTTTACAAACATTGTAGTAATTTTACACCCATTGTAGTATTTTTACAAACATGTAGTAATTTTACACCTATTGTAGTATTTTTACAAACATTGTAGTAATTTTACACCCATTGTAGTATTTTTACAAACATTGTAGTAATTTACAATGTTGTGGGAATCATATGGGAATCTTATTGGACTTTCCAAGTGAACAAACCGACTAGGTGAAAGTGGTATTTTGCCTTAAGGCAAAAAATTAACAAAGCTGGTCAGGCTGAACGCCAAATGATATCTTCAGAACGGTTTTTGAAATTCAAAATCCAATCAGCATTTTGTCGAAAAAACGTTGACGAAAAATTTTGCACTGTTTTAGATTTTTCAAAAGAAACGGCTAGAACTAAGTCTAAAGCTACTTTGATACGTAGCAGCTGTTTTTGAGAAAAGGAAAGCGTCGACGAAAGATCATTTTTTGCTCCAACTTCTTCCAATTTTCAATTCAGAGACTTCAATCACCAAAAAAAACTTGATGCTGCAACCCTTGCTATATTACATATATTTAATTCAATCATTATTATAATTAAATAATGTATGGAATAAAAAGCAAAGGATTGCAATTATATTAGATTGAATTTATTTATATATCCATTATGTAACAAATTTCATTCGTCAAATAAAATTAGCATAAAAAAAAATGTATTACAATTTTCAAATGTATGTGAATATAACACTTTAATACACATGCACATTATACAACATATATATATATAATATATGAGTGAGTTCTTGAGATACATCAACAAAGAACTTTCTTTGTTTTGATGTATGCCCTCAATAACACTCATATATTTCACATCAAAATTAACTACTAAATATATATATATATATATATATATATATATATATATATGTATATATATATATTATATATATGTTTCATTTACTATTTATCTTTCTATCATGCCATGAATACTACAAAAAATATAAAAGAATATCAGTACACCAAATATTTTTATCATCAACCACCTGTTATTTGTGACGCTTTTAAAATATTTTAGTATCTCAGTGTGAGCTGCTTCTATATTGAGTTCAGCATCTTGGACATTGTGATCAATTCTCTCAACCATTTCTTCTTGCTCTTTCACCATGTGAGCCAATTGCTGGAATATCCCTCCGAGCTCTACAATTGTGCTTTCTATATTTTGCATTGTTTCTGCTCGATTTTGCAGATAATTATCTGTTTCATCTTGCATCAGCATTTGTTGTGTCTGAGAATTAACTGGCAGCAAAGGTTGTGATGAACTGCCCTCCAGATCTATATTTACTTGCTCATTTGCTAAGAGTAAACTACCTATAATTTTTATTATAAAAGTCAACTATTTCTTGTAAATGTTTATTTTTTAGGACAAATAATTACCTTGATGCGCTCTGTTGACATTTGGTGGAATAGCTGTATTAACACTTCTTTGACTGAACTGTTCCCTTCGGTTTTTCTGTTGTTTCAAATTTTCTGTTCGCACTTCAAGTATTTGTTTAAAGTTGTTACTCATTGTAGCCAATTTTGACTGTAGCGCCAACACTACACTTGAAGAATGTGAATTTAAATGTTTTCCAGATGAATTGTTTCTCTAGAAGGAATTATCATTATTATTAACTTGTAATATTAAATATTATTATTAATTGTCTATTCTTCATTTGTTATTAACAAACCTGTGATTTTGAAACATCTTGTAATTTAGCAATTTGTTGATTTAAGGAGCTTAAATCACCTTTAATTATATATGTTAATTCTTGAATTTCTGACCCACGATCATCAAATAAAGATTTTCTTTAGCTAACATGGTCATCTTTTCCAATTTAGCATATGTGCTTGCAATATTTCTCCCAACATGTCTAGCTAAGGCCATAAATTCTGAATAACTCTGGATAACTTTAGCTTTTCGAGCATCCCTGAATCCTACAGCCCTCGATATATTTCTATTTTGCAAAGACTGAATTGCTTTAACAAACTCGTTGGTTCGATCTCTGGAAGTCATGATTACTTCTGTTTCTGGATTAGTAAGTTTCACAGCTGAATTAGAATTATCGTAGGAACTGCTCTCATTAGCAATAAAAGAGTTTGAGAAGCTGTGGAATCCTTGACTTAAATTCTGTCCATTGTGATTATTCTCAATCAATATTGAAGACTGCTGAGGCTCAAAGCCCGCAAATCGACGTCTTGCTGGCATTGCATTATTCAAATTTACTGATAAAAAGCGAAATATGGATTAGTGAAAACGCAATGTGAATTGTGAACTCTGTATTTATCTCTATGAACAATTAATGCACCAAAATACAATAAGCAGCATTATCTGTAATCACTATCAGCAATGTCCAAAAAATATTTAAAATTAGAAAAATATTACTTAGTAAGATTTAATGCTAAAATATCGAATGACGTGTAATAAAGCAAAGAATGTGACAGCAAGCAATGAAAGAACAGAACTGTCACTAACGCAAACTGTCAAACCAACTTGGAACATGCTGAAGTTAGATCAGAAACGTTTTTGAATTTGATAAAGAACGAATAACGATCGGGAATAAAGCGGGAAAATCAAAATTGTTGATTCCGGCATGGTGCAAAGGTGAAGATACTTTATTATTATTAACTATACGCACATTTTCTTCACATTATATATATAAATATTGAGTACTGAGTGAATCTTTGTTATGCATTTAAAACAAATCCAAATTGCACAAATAATTGTTTTTTTCTGTCTTTCAAACTTATTTTTCAATTTTTCAATCAATATTTTTAATTGTTAAACATCCTCTTAGCCTTGGTTTTATTTCCATAAAAATAAATCCACAAAAATTTAGTCAAAAAGTCCATGGACAGGTATCTTTGAAAATTTCATAAAAATAAATCCCTGCATTTTTTATTCCACATATGATATTAAATCATTAAAATTGGTTTTGAATAATTTATTTTAAAAAAAATTAAATAAAAATAATGTTCGAGTTTCAGAAATTTTATATTTAAAGATATTTCATAATCACATTCACACATTCTTTATATAATCTTATGTGAGCCTATATGTAATACATTACAGAAAGTATAAATTTACAATTATATTAATGCAAGAATTAGTTACGATCATTTTCAATATAAAATTTAAAATTAACATTTTTCAACTATTGATTTTTTTTTTAATGGAAGAATATCAATTTTGAGCTGCCACGAGTTATAAATTGACATTAAGTTCTCAAAGACCCAGTTAATAATTACATTTTTAACATGGACTTATAAACTATCACTTCATTATTTCGATCTAATTGAATTTGATTTCAAGAAATTGGAAGCTTCTGTATTGAAACATCATTTCAAATTAAACTATTAATAAAAAAAATCACAGTTACCTATGCAACATGTGAACTGATGTGAAAAATTATGCATTGATTAACAACATATGCATTTATTATAATATATACTTCTATAAACAGATGAGTATGTGATACATGGAACATATATATGTAAGTAATTTTTATATAAATGTTCGCATATATTTTCTTCACGCATAATATTTGTTATCAACAAATACATATGCTGCATATATTCAAACAAACAATTACATATGTGTTCAGCACATATGTTCATGTTTAAGTATAATAGAGTAATGTACATAAATATTAGTAGCTCTAATATTTCTAATATACTTATTCTAAGTATTTATATAAATTGAGGATTATTATACAAAATTCTATTGATATCAAAAAGATGTGACTTATTTCTACATTTAAATAAACTATTGTATTTTCAAAACTGGCTTCACCACTCACTCCCACTCGTGAATGCTGATAATTGGACAGATAATAGGCCATATATATAAAAATTTATCTAAAATTCAATTTATTGTTGGTGTTTCTAAAATTAAACAGAATTTGTAATTTACTTTTCAATTGATATTAAAATCTATTACAAATGTTAATGTACTTGCAAATTATCAATCTAAATTTAATTGCATTAAAATGAGCTATTGTTAAAATTTAAATCAGAGGTTAATAAAATCAGTCTCAGTTTATTTTTGAGCCTAGAAATAATTTTAGATTTGGTACGAAGAAGTCATATCACTTATTATAATTCTAAATTTAATTTTCAGCAATGGCCACTGTTGATTCTGTTGGTACAGGTATATCGACTGGAGGAACATCCTAAATAATAAACAATAAATATAAATATTGTTTAGCAAACATTTTATACATGCTTCAATATTTGGTACTTACATCTAGCATCATGTCTGCAATTTTTTCTGTAATATCTTTTGTGATGCTCATATCACTTAACGTACTTTCAGTAGCCGAAACCTCTGCCATGTCACTTGATTTTTCCTAAATCAAATAAAATTGTTAATAATCTATTTTATAAACATTTAATTTGTTATTAATTTATATTGATAACATATTGAAAAGATGTGAATCAAATGATAAATATTTCAGAATATTTCTTCTATATGCAAACATGCTAAATGAGTTAAATAATGTTAGTCACAACTTTAATCATATAAAATATGATTATAATATGAAATAAAAAGTAATTAGATATTCCATAATATTTTGAACTTATAAAAATAGCAGCTAAGTTATGTAACTTATAATTATCTACCTACAAAATGCAACTTGTGCATAGCATGTTGTATGTCATCAACATAATACAAAATTATTTGTAAATGCTCTGACACGTGTACTTATATATCTACACATGTTTATTATGGTATTACACATTAGATATACCGAGAAAAATATATTATATGCAATCATACAATTTATATTAATTAATGAGCATTAATGAATCAAGTGATGTTTAGGTTTAAAACATGGGTCACAGGAAGATAAGGAGGGAATAAAATGTTTCAAATATCCCATCAAAACTATTTATCTGAAAATAAAATGACAAAACAAACAAACACAAATCAAAATCCAAACTAGGAGAAGAATTGAAAAGGAATGGTAAACTTCAAAATAGAAATGTTTAAATCCATTTGTTTAATAACATTTCTATGGGCTAAAACATATATGTTTATCCTCCAGTATTGTAGTGGGATGTTTGGTTGTTAGTATAAAATTTTTAGTGTAACTTCAGACAAATGCAGTTAGAAACTAATTCAGGCAGCATAACATCTTTAAATATTTTAATCATAATCAAAAACTAAATTATTGAGCAATCAAAAATCTATATGCGGTATCTCAAAATTAATTTCTTCTATTGAACAATTAACTTTATAGCATTGGTCTGTATTGAATTAGTTTACTGGTGAAAGTATAAAATATAGAACATTTGAAGGCTAAGAAGTTCTAAAAACTCTTTGTACAGTATATAAACAGCAAAACAGTAAACAGTTAATAAACAACAGCGCAACAAACAGCTTAAAACTATCACCCCATTTATTAATCTAATCTGATTCGATGCAATCCTTCACCTGTTGGGCTGGCTGTTTCTCAGAGACTCCGTTGCTCATTTCATGTGGAGATGGAGGACACATAATGTTGCCATTTTGCCCTTCAGTTGCCACTGTAGGCGGTGGCGGCAAGGGAGCGAGATCATCAAAAGATCCCACCGTTACCTCTTTTGGTTTATCATCTCGATTTGAAATCTCAGGTGATTGAGGTGGTGAAGGCAACTGATCCTCTGTGATTGTGTTAGCTGCTACAGATTCTGAAACTGAAGTGTCCTGAGCTGATAGGGGAGAAGGAGGCGGTGATGGTAAATTTTCTCCTGATTCAGTTTTAGTTGTTATCGAATCAGTATTTAATTGAGCTTCATATCCAGATGCTGGTGATGGAGGAGGTGAAGGTAAATCGTCATCAATTTGTTTGCTGGAGTCTTTTTCTTCTACAACTTTATCAGATAAAACAGATTGAGGTATAGAAGATAAATTATGAATAGACAATGGTGCATTTTCTGATTTAGTACCTTTTTCAGTTGAATCAATTTTCGGCGCCTGCACCATTGTATCACATTCATTAACTGTGGCTGATACTTCTTGTTTAGCTTCTGGAATTTCTGTTTGAGGAATAATCGGGGCAACTTGAGTTTTTATCACATTGGCATCAGAGAGAACAGGCACTTCATTTTGAGCCAAGTCAGGCACTTCGGATGGAACAATAACAGAAGTAGCTACCGGAAGTTCACATGTAGAAGCAGCTGCCGGCTGTTCGGGAAGAGGTGCGGGGGCTGCAGGCTGTTCGGGAATAGGTGCGGGGGCTGCAGGCTGTTCAGGAATAGGTGCGGGGGCTGCAGGCTGTTCGGGAATAGGTGCGGGGGATGCAGGCTGTTCGGGAATGGGTGCGGGGGCTGCTGGCTGTTCTGGGAAGAGTTGCGGGGGCTGCTGGCTGTTCGGGAAGAGGTGCGGGGGCTGCAGGTTTTTCGGGAAGAGGTGCGGGGGCTGCGGGCTGTTCGGGAAGAGGTGCGGGGGCTGCGGGCTGTTCGGGAAGAGGTGCGGGGGCTGCGGGCTGTTCGGGAAGAGGTGCGGGGGCTGCGGGCTGTTCGGGAAGAGGTGCGGGGGCTGCGGGCTGTTCGGGAAGAGGTGCGGGGGCTGCGGGCTGTTCAGAAAGAGGTGCGGGGGCTGCGGGCTGTTCGGATGCAACCGGTTGGACCGCAATTTGTTCATCTTTAGCTATCATAGGTGAATCAGAAGGTGCAAGAATTGGAGTTTCAGGTTGAATTACAACTTGAATAGCAGAATGAGCAGTTTCAGGTTCTGGTAATTTATCTTTTATATCACTTTCTCCTACTTTATCGGCAACTGAGGGTGCAGTTTCTTTTGAAATAGAAGTTTCTTGTTGCTGAATTACAGCTGAAGTTGCAACATCATCAGATGCCAACATAGCCTCTGCGAAAGCTGTTACTTGGGAAGGGGGTGAGGAAATTGGTAATGGGGGTGGTGATGTATGATCACAAACCTCTTTCTGTTCCTCAACTGGTGGAGGAGGTAGAGATTCCGGTTCCTGTTTGGCTTCAACATTTTCTGGAACTGGAACTTCAGCAACTACATATGTTTTTGCCGGCTCTTCAACTTTATTTTCAGCTGCTGATGTAACATGTTCAACTGGCTCCGCAGCTGGGGCTGCTTCTAATGTCTGAACAGGTTCTGCTGGTACTGGATCTTTAACTTCTTTACTCTCACAAGTTGCAGGTTTTTCACAAGCTGCCTCACATGCAATAGGTGCAACTGGTTTTTCACATTTATCTTCAACTGGTGTTTTCACGGCTTCATTTGTCTTTTCTGCTGTAGACTCTGTTACTTTGGGTGCTGGAGCCTCTTCAGATTTGATTACTTCACTCTGAGGTGCAGAAGTCTCATCCTTAGTTATTTCTTCTTTAGGAGAAGCGGCCGCGGGCACGTCACCGGCAGGCGCAGCAGCTGCTGCATTTTCATCAGCTCCCTAATACACAACATATTATAAATAAATAAATAATATAAAAAATATATTATTATAGATATTTCTAGCATATGTAGCATTCTCACGCAGAACAAATATAAAAAATATAATTAATAAAATATACAATTATATTAATATTGATTGATGTTTCTACATACGTTCACCTTTTTATCCATTTATAGAAAATTTAATAAATTACGACACATGAACACAAATATCTGAATTAAAAAATGTTCTTAAAAATAGAACAAATATAAATCATGTAACTAAGTCGGGAGTTTTGACGATACTATATTCTATTCAGTTGAAAAATTTTATATAAATACTACAGAAAGGGTGGGATGAAAACATCTCAGACTACTTTGCTCCTTCCACATTTTAAAACCATGACGTTACAAATCAGGCCGTCATCTAAGTTTTATTTTAGTACCATGATCTAATAAAAAGCTCAGAAAATGATTATCAAAAACATTAATTCGTCCTGCATTTAAGATACTGTAACTATATAACTTGTGATATAGATTTAGTATATTTTAATTTGCTTTTTATTGCATGATCAAAATTTAAATGAGCGCGTTTTAAATTAAAAATAAAATATTTTTTGCATGCAAGCAATTGAAACAACTAAACAGCTGATAAACAACATCTAAAATTATCATAAATGTGTCTATTCTCGTATATCATGTTGACATTAACCAAAGACTTTTGCCAAATATTTCAAAAATAACTGTAGGCAAAATAACATGCTATCTTAATGTATTGAATTAAAATAGTCTTGCGTATTTCGAAATTATTGAAATTTAAATACTGATAAAACAGTGGCATAAAATTTTATGTGATACTTGAAATATATAGAATATTTGCCTACGTCGATAGTGATCGCTAATATTATTTGACGTTATTCATAAAGATAGGCGCTTAGCCATCTGTTATGAGCAGTTGCCAGAAATATTTCGCTAAATATATTTATGTATCATAAGATCATATCATAGATAAGATGAAAACATAATTTAGAAATTTAGTTGCTGAATTGAAATTAACCAAAAAATTCTACGGATATTCAAGGATAAATATATAATTATAAACATATCTAAAATAAAACAAAATCAGACGAAACTAAATAAACTATCAAAAATACTATTTAGCATATTAAAGTTACAAAATTCTAGGAGTATTTTCTTCTAGGAAAATGAGATACTAAACTAAGGGGAGAGCGCGTTTCCGAACGCAGTCTCTGCGCAAATCGATAACGCGCTGAGCGGCCGACGCCCTATACTGCTATGGAGACTTTCTTCATGAACCGAGAAACAGGGCAAACTTAAACCATTTCCTTTTCGCTGGTAATAATAAAATTATTTTATAAATTTAACGATAAACTTTTATGATAAATATGTTTGATGTAACCTATTAACTGTGGCGCTCGAAACACGGAACCGAGTGCTTAAATAAATTTACATTTTTGTTCCGGCATAGCCTCCAAGTACTCTATAAATATCTTGAAATTTGAGAATGTTTTTTTTTTCAACAAATTGCAGTATAAATAGCCAATGGTCAAAGATTTCATTCCTATGGCAAGTATACTAGTCAAAACATAAAATTTCACCAATTTTCCATGACGAGTATATTCGTCAAGCACAGTTAAAGGTGGTTAAAAGTTGATACGGATTTCAATTTGAATATCAGCAAAGTCATAGATAAACAAGTATAAATGCAGCAAGTCTAAGTGATAAATAAGTGATATACCAACTTCACAGCGATTAAATTTATTAATTATTAGAAATATTATTTATATTAGTATTGGTTTTAATTAATAAAATATGTAATTTTTAAAAAACAAGTCCAGCAAAAATAGCTAGAGGTTGCAAACTCTATTCCCGAACCGGCGCTCGAAGTCTAGAAACCATGACAACCTCTCTCGCCGCGACATTCAGTTCCTGAATGATTAATATTTAACAAAAGAAGCAAAATATTAAGATATTTTATATAAACATAAAAAGTTCAAAATAAAATTGAGAGAAAAACAAATGAAATTTTTTGCTTTCCTTGTTACCGCATTTAACATTTCATTTAACCGCAACAAAAATTATGAATCTTCTATCTAAAATTGTATCTATCGAGAAAAGTGTGTCAGTGGGTCAAACACCCTTCTTGCCTTCCTGGAGAACATCCATAAACATATAAAATCAGTAAACGTCGCCCCTCGGTTCCCTACAAGTTACTGATATTCGGCAACGTTACTTCCGACCGATACTTTTGTGAGAGGTGTAAGAATCTTGAAAATATCAACACAAAAAGGCAATAAGAAATTTAAAATATAGAACAAATAAAAATATTATTCAACTATTGAATAAATGTTGGAACGCTCAAAATCAGGCATACGAAATTTTTTCCATTGTATCAAAATAGAGTTAAATCATAAATATATTAAATTATAAACATTTACTTACTAACATACTATACTTACCACAATTCGGGTTAATAACCACATGTGCACTTAATTCCACAAAGTTGTGCAAAAATAATGTTTATCACACAAAAAATACGTTACATTTTAGTATCTTTGCATATTTATTTTTTGTGTGATAAATCTACGATAACATGCATATAAAACAAATATTATTTAACTACCAAAGAGTATTAGTATTTGAAAATTTAGCGAAAAGATAAATTTAACTATTACCATTTTTCTGTAACATGCTTATGACTAACATTTATTTTCGAATGTTCTAAATATATGGAAAGTAATGAAGTATGACATACAAATAGTGATGAAAAATTAGATGGTGTAAGTTGTGTTGTAAGAAATGTAAAGATGATGATTGTAATATACAACAATATAACATAAATGATTTTTTACATTTAACTTTGTATTTAATTTTATTTCGAACTTGGGGGCTACTTCAGCATCATTGCACTACTTTAACAATTTTGTCGCCATAATTGAACATAATGTTGTAACAAGAAAGTGCATCCACTGAAATAGCATATCCAAAATTGCATGTACTTGTATTACCATACACCTAATTATATACATAAATACGATAGAGAGAAAGTATAGAAGAGAAAAAGCGTTAGATTCAATATTAATTTACCACCACATATGCCAGATTCTACAAGAATTTTGTTTGTACCTCTTCAGGAACCTTTTCAATGTCCCCATTTTCTTCCTGTTGCTGTTGCTTCTTGGAAGGCTTTTGTTTGTCCTTTTTGCTGAAAGAGATGCTACGGAAGGACCATTTCTTCTTTTTCTCTTTCTTCTTTTCAGTCTGTTTCTCATCACCAGAAGTTGGGGACGTTGGGGAAGTTGGAGATGCTACTTCTGATGTATCTTCAGAAGGAGAGGTTGGGCTTTGGGGTTCTTCAGAAGATGTACCAATTTTTTCCGTGGGCATTTCATCGGGAGTGGCATCACCGAGACCGTTCTCAACGGCCGCCGGCGTGGTTGCGCTGTCTGAAGCCGCAGGTGGCACCAATAAACCCTTTTCGGTGCTCGAATCTTTTTCATTCTCAGGCGTTCCAGATTCCAATTGACGTTCTTTTTCCTTGATTTTTGTAGGAGTTTTATATTAGGCTTAAGTGGCGTTTTGTTCGTTTTATAATTATAAATATATTAAAATACGAAATTTAACTCTCCTTACTAGATATATACGTAACAAAGACATTTTTTTAATTACCGAGCTTAGAATTTTAATACTTTGAAGCAAAGAAAACTTGCCAAATCTTAATGTAATTAATTTTTGATTGATGCTCTACAAAACATGCAATTATTTTTTTAAAATTACTCTTCAAATGCTGAAATAGTCAAACATTTGCAACTTTGCCAAAATGTCAATGTTAAATATAATCTTAAAGACGCAATTATCTGCACAACGTATTTAGCGCTGTCGGAAGTAAATATTATCAACGATACGACTGAACGAATCTAAATTTAATATAATAAAGGCGCATATTATATTAAAATAGTTTTCCCTAGAATTGAACGTATTTCTTCATTAAACTTAAACTAATTACATCAGCATAGCTGCATATTTCTTAATACTTCTATCTAATCACGACTTTATATCCATCATGTAATTAGACAACCTACACATTTTTAGATAACTAATATAGAATTCGTTGAGATTTTATTATTTTAACAAGTGGTGAAGCGAGATGAATATGAAAAAATGTAATATATAAATAAGTCAAATAATTATTTCATATACAATATTTATTTCATGAGATGTATTACATATTTATTATAATATATTAGAATAGAATAAGATGTGATGATATTATTATTCGTATATCCAAGTACGTTAAATTATTAGTGCAAAACGTCATTCCTGAAACGAAAATTTAACTTTTTGACTAATTTGAATTTATTCAGTTACCAAAATATTTTCAACTGTAAGCAACAAAATAATTTATATAAAGCACGGCTCAAAAAAAAAACTTCACAATATTTGAGAGGGAAAAATCTGCACCACCACTTGCTAAAGCATTAACATATATTCGTTGATATGAAGAAAAAATGATTCTTAATAATGACTTATAGTAAGGATTGATGAGTATTCAGTATGTATAAAGTTAATATTTAAAATCATCAATAAAAGCAAAAACACGCAAACTTTCAACATAAGCTGACAAGACTTGGATCACAAACGTTATTGAAATTGTGAATGGCAATTCAAAAATGACTATAGTTACAAAGACAAAATAGAATGTTAATATTATATAAAAATGAACTATGGTCATTATTAAAATGCGTGCTTATAACGTACGTAGCGTTGATAACAATGTGTAGAGAATGCAATCAATCTGACAAATACAAGATAAAACGGTCACAACAAATGAAAATGGAAAACAACACATACACACAATACAAACATTCGATATCTTAAATGGATTAATCAATAATTTTGAATATCAAAATATTTTCAATTTTATATGCTTTATTTTAGAATAAAAAATCTGATTCATGTTTTTTTTTCAAAATGATGTGAATGTAAAAAACCAATTAAAGGTCCCAAATCAAATATTTCAAAAATGTTTAGTAAGCTATTAAAAATATAGCTAAGCATAAAATCCTTAATAAACACATCTAACCTTTAACACAGCGTCTCCATTTTGCTTAGTGGCAGCAGGCTCGCCAGCAACCGCGCCATCTTCGAGTTTTCCCAATTTTCCGGCGACCACATCGCCCCCGCTCTCGGATGCTGCGCCGGTTGCCGTCGTTATATCGACTGATCTCTTGCTTTGTCTCGCACCCATCGTGTGAAAATTTAACGATTTACTCGATCAAAATTATGTGGTGATTTCACGTAGGTAAAAAATTTATAAAACTGTATAAAAAATGGCTACGGTGGAAATCGTCACACCTGAAAAGGAAAAGGGTAATATAAAAATATATATTAAAGTACGATACTAAAATGTACAAGTTGTAGAATAATTGATAACATCAATCTGATGTAGGTACATTATTACAATAAATATACATCGCCGTCGGACTAATAAAATAAACATGGACCTATATCACAACAATGATATTTTTTAATAGGTTTACGCTTGGTCTGGTATTCGGAAACATTTCGGGTATAATAGAGACCAAGCACTATAATTAAAGATCATCTAATATTCTTATATGATTATACATTCTCTACGTAAGTAAGAACTGGATGAATAAGAATTTTCATTACAATAGAGAATGATCATTACAAAACTGTTCTACCATGATCGTTTCAGTAGATAATTTAAGTATTATAGTTTTTAAATTACTAAACAAAAATATGTTTATACCAGAAGTGAACTATTGGACTGGACCTAATGTAATTTGAGGACGGTTTTTAATTTTTTTTTTCGTATAAATAGTAAGATATCTATAAAACCATGCTGTTGTAATTAAGAAAATAAAATATGTTCAATACTATTATAATAATTATAAGAAAGAAGTTATGATGACTTTGAGAAGAGTATTAGTATTATTTACAATGTTTGTTGTCTTTGAATAAGAAATTATTAAATATTACGTCAACAAAATTAAATTTAAGAAAGCTACACAAATATTTATGAAAAATTAATATACACAATTACTATCAATATAATTCAATTCTTTGTAATATTTCTATATTAAAGATTCGGTCCCTTGTTCGTCTCTGTAAAATGATAAATAAAAACAAAAATGTTATATAACCGTGCAGCAATAAAACTGAAGATGCGTGGTTCCATTTTACTGCTGCGTGTTATTAAACGGTACCGTTATTTTGTAAGCGATTATATATTTCAAAATGACTCTTGAGTTCATGTTTTTTATATCCAGATCTCATAATAAATCATCTTCGATTATATAGATCATAGTACACCGAAATAGATTTATTTATCTATATTTCATTCAATTTTATCGCAAAATAAAATTGTAATATGCCTGAAAACTATGCAACGAAGCATACGTGGACGAAAACGTAATTGAATACGCGAGTATTGCTATTTTCTCTGTTATAAAATAGAATCATTAATTATTCAAAATTCAAAAGTTTAACGATAAGACTTATAAAAATTTTGAGTTCGTAAACTATTTTCTTCAAAAACTCTTTAAATCCCTTTTAAAGTACTTCTAAATTGTTTCATTCGTACTTTTTATAAATATTAATAAGAGCATTTATCTTGCATTTTCCAGAAAGTTAAACTTTTAAGCTTATATCAGCACACTGCAAATCCATTTAGCACAAGGGAAAAAATTCGTGGAAAATCCCGGTACGTCTTCAAAGTACCATATGTCTGTCTAATTTTAAAACAAAAATAACAGAAAACGAATTTAATGTACATACAAAGCGAGAATTGAAAATAACAAGAACTTTCTTGATGATCCACAACATTCGTAACAAATGTTTATTTGAAAATGCTATTTTAATGAGATTCTTAAAAACGTCTAATGAAATTTTAATTGTACGAATAAATTACCAGCTCATTCAGATATATGACTAAATGATAATAAGGAACAAGTCACAAAAATGTAGCAAAATTCTCAGATTTTTTTTATAATTTTATTCCACAAATAAATATTTTCGATGGATAAGAAAATAAATGATGTTTCTGATATGCTATTAAGAGCATGAAGTTGACAAATATATTTTATTACTTCAAAATCAGAAAAGCGTAGAAACGATATCAGCGGAAAAATTACACATCGAGCAACGTTGTTAAGTAATTTATTGGATAAAATAAAGTAACTATTTTTATTTCACAAAACAAATCAAAAGTTATAAATCAACTTCAAATTTGAACCGTAATTCATGTATCTTAAAAATCTTTAATCATGTAGTCAATTAAAGATTTCTAAGATAGCATAAGGATTATTCATTGAATTCGTAGATACGATGATTCAGCAGTCATCAAATACAATCTAGCCAAATATTTTAATTTAGTGATATAAATGTAAACTCTGCCCGAACCGCTCAACAATTGCCAAAATGTATGATCGATGATTTAAAATTTCCGTAACTCTTTAGTAAGAGATTTGGCGTGGTACAAGTAAATTTCTTGGCAAAGGTGGTGCAAAATATTTCCGACCACGTAAGTCGATTGCGCTGCGTGTTTCTCGTTATATCTTCGATGCGTTTGTCAAGATTTTTAAATGCACTCGCCGCTGCTAGTCGACTGCGAAATCGCGGAATCCGGTTCTAGTGGGACCATCAACATCATCTCTGGGTGCATCGACGACTCTGACCGTTGCCTCAAGGTTAAAACAGTACAAGAAGCCTTCAAGGACACGAGTTGCGAATATTAAATATTTTACAAATTCCATAGACTGAAGAGGTACAAATTTCATTCATACGATAAACTAAGCGAGAACAAACATTTTCCGAATAGTTTTGGTTTATTGAACGCGGCAATTAACGTGATTCATTGGGTAATTAAAAGCAGACAAGTAGTAGACAACATAGCAGACAATCTCGTACAATTTCGCCCACTAAACTTCGCTAAGCCCATCTCGCGTAACGCACAGCACATCATAAAGCAGCGACTAAGCAATTTATGTAGGAGTGATCCGAGTCGCACGCGGCGGCTCGATTGCCAATGGATTATGTTAATGCATGCATTATATATCCCGAGGCAAGGCAACAATACATAAAAAAAACACTCGTCTTCCTGTCGAGACTTAACTAAGTCTACACATAGCCGGTGTTTTGTTCTGTTGTGTGATCTATTAGCATCGCAGCTCATAGAAGAGATTTGTCCTAGGTCGTGAGAACCAGATTTCACGCTCTTGAATGACGATTTTATTTTTAACTCGATTACGCGTGAAACATGAATGTTATCTATTTATACAATTTATAATACATTCGTGAGATAAGCTTTTTTTTAGAAAAAGACTACGGATGAGTAAATAATACTTAGCAAATAATTGCATATAATATTAATAGAATTTTCCTTCGCTCTGTTAATTACGATTAGGACAGTTATTAATGAATGTTACAGTGACTATAAATAGGTACGTGAATGATTTCAAGGTCCCGCCGAGAAAATTTTAGCACAAAGACTCGGGTGAGTCGAGTGCATCCAATATGAATCAGCAAATGAATATCGGGGTTAACGTTGACACACAAAGAGCAATTCATTAGAAAACCTTGACGAGTTTATTTCTTGGCAAATTAGTTTGTTCTAATAATAACTATAGCCTATCATTAGCCTAAAAATAACGCACAGCTAGGAAAGTGAGTCAAAGGAATTAACTCGCTCCGATGTATCTAATTTCACATTGATAAATTAACAAAATTTCGTAAGAAAAAGTATTTAATTAAAATGCTTTTTATAACACTCTTGATAAATTACACTAAACGAGTCACACTCACTGTCTTACTGAAACTCCTTATAATCACTTATTTTCTATAAATTGCATTAACTGCACATACATTAATAACCTGATAAAAAAAGCATAAATGCATTTCGTTAGAAAAAATTATAATAGTATTACTTACTCAACAAAGACTTCGGTCTGATCTCATAAAGAGCTATTTTGCAAATGTTGCAAAATATTTTAATAACGATACTAACTAGTCATATTTATTTTTATCAGTATCATTCATAACTTATCTTCGAGATAAAACGTATTATTCGTAATATATAAATAACCATTGAAACAAACTCATTTTTTTTACTTTATCATTTATTACTAATTTAATACTTGTTGTTGTAAAAGTGTTGTCAACTTAAGTTGACTTAAATCAAAGATATGAGATGAAACTAAAATTGAAAAAATATGAAACTTATTAACAAAAATTATGTGGAACTGTGCACAATATTTGCTTTACCAATTTTACAAAGATCAGAAAACACTCATGAATACACAGAGATACAAGAATGTGAACTCGAAGGTCAAATAAAAGGCTAATACGCTGTACGCATATGTACTTGAAGAAGTTTATGATAATCTTAGCTTCATGTAAACAAACATGAAGATCCAAGTGCTTATTAGATACAATTAGGTTCAATATAATTTAGTCACAAATAACATATTTATCAACTCCATTGTAATATCATTACATGGAATCATTTTAAATTAGTTATGGCAAGTCAAGCTGAATTATTGAATAAATCAAACAATGCAGTTGACACAGCTCATGATACTTGTAATACATTTCAAAATTATATTTATGATTTGTGATGATCATTCCGAACAATAAGTTAACAATAGCACATGAAAATATGATTAGGAAATGTAATTGTTTACCAATCGACAACAAGTCTGTTACTGGATCTTCATGGACCTAATCACATATATTACAGAAAAAAATACCAACAAAGTTAAAACATCTGACAAAGATATACCATGATTTAAATCATCAAGTTACGTTTACAAGATCAATTTAGAAAGGTAATTGAGCATTTTCTCCAAACATATTGAGAAGGAGTGCTAGGAGATTAAGATACCAGCAGAATGGCGATCGCTACTTGACAATGCCAGCATATCGGTACCAAGGAGCACCAGGGTCAATTATGATAATAATGTGCACTGATACAGATGCGCCTATTTACAGAGTAACTGAATAGAAGAATCATTGCATATTGATGTTCTTAATCAGAAACCTTGAAGGAATCTTAAGGTCAATAACAATCTCAGAGGTTAGAGTTAATAGATTTTTTTTCTTTATACAAAAGAGATGTTAGACGAGAAGTCATAGATTAAAAATTGTGAGAACATTTATGGAGTCAATAAGGCAATTATTATAGAGCTATAAAACTTGAAGTAGAAAAGGAAACATTAACAAGAATTATAGTAATCACTCAAGGATTATGTACGCTATAAACGAAACATATTTATAAATATTGCCCATAATCTTATGTTCGATGATTTCTACGTTCTTGGAAATAGTAGGCACTTGACGTTTCATCAAAACAACTCATTGTTTCAATTAAAACTATGTAAATAATTATGATTCACACAACAAAGCATACATTCAACGACGCCAGTGCATGTTTTTGAGCAACACGCACATAACAGATGATACTAATTCAAAATGAGGAAAAAAACTAGGTTAGTTTTTTACCTATGATTCATTCGTTGAGTAAAAATCAGAGATGACAAATTCGTACGAGATTTCGATCCATAAATAGCAATTTATCATAAAAAGTTAATGATATTTATATTACAGAGCATGAAATATATTCTAATTAATTATATCTAATGGTACACAAATGTCTACTGCTGTATTAATTTACATTAAATTAGTATATAGACTATCCACATGCATACAGTTATGCATAATCGCTACATCGATTAGTCTAAACGCAGATGTTTACAACGATTGTTCGCATTCCTTGCATTGCTAATCACATTTTCCCAGAATGGACTACCGAATTATTTGCATTATATTTTCAGAATTTATTAGGTCATTAGACTTTACGATAATTTGTGCAATAGCGTCAATTCTTTGAAAAAATCAATTAATCATATTTATCTTACAGCGGAATTTCGCAATAAAAGATACATCTTTCACATTGCCATCTGCGCCGTTCATTTTTTAACTGGAATCAGCACGATTATACCAATCGTATTTAGAACACAGACGTGACTCATGTGAATGATAAAATTATATACATTATATAATTATATACATATATAGAATACATTCTAAACGTGAAACCAGCGTCGCGACTTGCTGCGACATATTTACACATCGCTTTACAGTAATAAGATAATAAAATAATGACAAGTCACATCGTATAAATTAATGATAAGGATAATAAACTGGGCTTGGAAATAAATGCAATTAAATTGTACTTTGGATTATGATGATAGAAATCATTAACTATATATGCCAGCCTCACCTGTGTTTATGAATTGAACAGTACAACAAACAATCCGTGAAAGTTTTACAAACGCAACTGTTAATTTGATACTGATCTTCTAAAAAATGCAAAGGTCCTGCAAAATCCTTGAACCCGACTTATGTCAACGACATCATCTTCGGCGCGTCCGAGCATTTAAAGCCTTTGACATCATATGCTTTTCTTTGTCACTTTAGCAAAGTGTCATAATGATAATGAAAAGCACTTCACGACTCATCGGTCCGGTTCTACTCACTCCATACGAATAAACATACACATACTAGAGACTCTGTTCGAACTTTGAACAAATATCGTGTTTGTTGCATATAAACCGCAAGTGCAAATATTATTGTTGAGAACTGAATAGGACGCTAAATAGCCATTGTTAAATTTAGACGCACTGGAGTACGTTTCATATGGGTTTTACTTTTCTTATTCTTACATGGAAATAATAACCATATGTAAAATAATTCTTAATAATCCAATTAACAAACTGGTGGCGCATGACATCGTGCCTTATAAAATTTAAAAAAATAAATATACATGTATTTGAGAATTCTGAATTTTTTTGAATTTTTTTTTTCAAAGTGATCACGCGTGCCTTCCCAAAAATTTAATCAATTATTCGTTCCGTTAATACAAGTGAAATGTTTATCGAATCATTCGAATCGGATGCTCCGTTCTCTACAAAAATTGAATTGCCACTATCTGCACTTTTTGTCCCGTAACTTCGAAACAGCTGGACCTGTTTTTGCCAAAACCTTATCAGCACGTCTCCCCATCAATAGAAATCGAATGTCGAAAGATCGAAACTTTTGATCAATCAAATCGGTTGGTCCGCTCTCTCAAAATCGTGGAAAAAATGATATCGCACATACATAGACTCACCCATCCCCACACACAATTCTACGGTATGCTAAAATGTTCAGAAATCTTTGAAACATAAAGATAATCAAAGATTTTGATTTTTGATTTTTACGGGAAGTTAAAAATAAGATAAAGCACAAAACTCAAATTATATACTGTGTTTCAGGTTATCATGTTGATTAGGTGTTTCCTAATCACAAATTAAAAGTAACTATTCGCGATCGTTTTCAGCCTAAAATAAAAATAATATCCTTCGAACCGGATTTGAACCAGTGACCTATGGATTTCTGCTTATTATTATCATCTACAGTCCACCGCTCTACCAACTGAGCTATCGAAGGTGCTCGTCGTTGTTTATTGCATGCATACTTTCTACAAAGTTCTGTCAATAATAATATTTCATGAACAATTATTTTAACAGAAATTCACACAATATTTCATATACAATCATCTTCACATTGGACATGCTTTCTAGAAGCAAAAATATAGAAAACCGTTTCGAGTTTTATTGACAATAAAGATAAAGCATTATAAATAGTTATGGTTGAAACTGCATATAATATTTTACATTTTTAACAAGAAATTCCTGTTACAAGTAAAATATGTAATAAGGACAATTGCGGAAAGATTTAAAGGAATAAAATCTTCTGATCTTGTTATTTGTTTTACCAATAAAATAGATTCGTATTAGAAGTATCGTAAGATATGCTATGCCATCCTAACTTGATGTATACTTTATTTGTATAGTAAGAACATAAAAAAGAAAAAACCGTAATAACTTTGAACATCAGGGAAGCCATTAGTCCTTTTGTGTAATACATTGTATTCTCGTAGGGGAGAGGTCCGCGTAAATCATTTGACCAACTGTACAAACACGCTTCCATACTATCAAGTACGCCTAGTAAACCAAACATGCCTTGTTTTGTGAATTATTATTTATACGCATTAATTCTGTGAATGTATCATGCGAGATTGTTTAACAATATCGCCAAGTTGATAAGTTATGAATAATTTTAAATTATGTTTCCTCATTTGTATATATACCGATACAAGCATAAGGGCGTGGCGAATAATTTATAGTAACAGGACATGATAAATTTATACAGTTTATAACTGGATTAGCATCTATAAAACGAGAGTATGGAATAATAATCATCATAGTAAAAATAAATATTTTTGTAACTTTCTGAAATTTATTGGTAGAGAACAATAAGGCCAATGTTAAAAACACAATTCGTAAATTTAACCGAAATTATGTAAATATAAAAACAATGCTCGAGTCTGATGTGAGATGAGTCATGCAGTCAGATTGAAAGTGAATTCAAGCGTAGTGAAGTACCAAATAACGGACGTGTAAATCCTCGCAGACACCAAACAACCAAAGAAAGGCAGACTGCAAATGATTCGCCAAAGTAATAAAAGGATTTTACGGTCGTCTACACCTAAATGAACACTGAGGAGGGGATACTTCTCAGAACATTGCAAATTTTTATATAATTGCGATTTATGCTCTTCTCTCTAATCTGCAGCTTAGTGAAATGACACACGTTATTCGAAGAGTCTAATTGTTTACAAGTAAAAAGAACCATTTTGTATTAAAATTGATATGCTGAGCACAACGTGATAGTTTGGTAATCGCGGCACGTTGGGATTGAATGGTAGAAACCGTGTCGAGGAGCAACGGTTTTAACAAATAAAATAAAAAGTTAAGAATAAACTAAAAAAATCCCATAAATGCGCTTCCAACGAGATGCAAGACGCACACATATAACAAGAAGCATGACTTGTGGGCCACCGCAGTACGTGTGTTCGCAAAATCTTCTCCTCCCGCATATATTTACATATAAATAGGTGTATTTTCAAAGGAATTTCAATCTTATTATTATATTTTATGTCGAAGCCTTTATCCTACGCCACAAACCGTTTTTTATTGCTGTCTATACGATTCGCTTAGATCTTAATGGTCAATATTAGTGGTTCTCAAGTCTACTCGATTTGGAACTACACAACGAACAAGTACGACATAAAAATTATTTAAAAAACATGCATTTGTGAAAACATTAATTTGTGATTCTAATTATACTGATTGCATATTGCTAAAAATATGAATTTAATATATAACATTAACATAAAAAAACATTTATGAAAACATTAATTTGTGATTCCAATCATACGGATTGCATATTGCTAAAAATATGAATTTAATATATAACATTAACATAAAAAACACTATTATGTATATAATAGTGTATCTGTATTAGAAAATACTGATAAAATTAATCTTGATACAAAAATTGGAAAAAAATGTATTTAGAATTTTAAGAATACTTACTATCGAACGATCCAAATATTGTTAGATAATGTTTTCAACTTGTACTAAAACACTATTAGTGGCACCCACGATTATTAACAATAAACAATTTATTAACTTTGCGTTAGTTTCAATGAAACCTATAAACATACAATCGGGGTTGTATCCACTCTGCTACGTTCGTATTCACGTCTGCATAGATATACTAACTAGGAATTAAATATCGTAACGGGCGTTATCACATATATTTACCACATGCACATTTTATTCGCGTTTGCGACAAATATAAACAATCCGTTATAAAAGAACAAACTAGTTTCACTAGTATATAAATTCTATTACTACTAAATATATTAAAATTATCTAATAATTCTATTAATAACAAGCGTGCACTGCAGCTTCTGGCAAGCGACTGAGAGAACACAGAACTACACGGCAAGCAAAGCCGGCCGGATGGCTGCGAGGCGTGCTCGCCAGGCTTGCGCGATTGCAGACGAAGCGCGCATTGTGTAGTGTAGTGCCCGCACATGTTGTACAAATGCCGTACCAAGTGAGAAACGCAAAACGACCCTTCTTTTGAAAACTCGCCAATATAGATCCACGTAGTGCCATATGCATATTTTGAACACACAGACCTAAAATTCTAATAAAAAGGGCAAAAGCAAGCGTAACACAGTGGCTCACCAGGTAGCGCTGCCCACTAATAAGGTAAGTAAACCGAAATATCGATCTAGTCTTCTGGCAGTGCAGTAGGTGCGGCGGAGTAGACAAGAAAAATAATATAAAATATAAACAATATCGTTGTTTAGATATTCTTTATCAGCTAAACATTCGAGAAGGTGATTTATCCTAACGACTCAAATGTAAAACTTCCTATTTTTATTTAAAATACAATTTAGCAAATAAAAAATAATCCTTCGAACCGGATTTGAACCAGTGACCTATGGATTACCGCTTTAATTTAATTCTACAGTCCACCGCTCTACCAACTGAGCTATCGAAGGTACGAATACGAATTATTCACTTCTGAATTACTTTCACCACGACTGGAACAAAAACTGTATCAGAGCAATCTCTCGAGTGGCTCCACGAAAAAGCCACTGTTTAACAGCGCTGATAGCGCTGAGACGTATCTTGGGCATCAATGTAAAATAAGGAATGAAAATTGGCTAATATTTTTTTCTACTCTTGAAATCGTGCCAACACGTTGCAACCATTGCTCTATTACTCAATTATATTAACACGTTAATCGCCATGATAATAGAAAAAAAATCACATGGGCCTTGGAAATTTTCTTAGATAATTTAGTTAAAAATGTATCAAAAACATTATTTTTTTAGGTCTCGCATATATAACTGACCTGGTTCCTATATAAAACTTTTGTTTCATAGGCCAAGAAATTCCCTCCCAGGGTTTGTCCTTGACAGGCCAAGTTCTGCAAAGGTATCGTTTGCATCGTTTGTATCACCATGGCCTTTTACCAAATCGTGTATGTCAGACAATATATGCCTGAAATGGCTCATGTAGAACTTCTTAGCATTAGACAATTGTGACTGGCATTGCGATTAACGTGTTAATATACAAGTGAATTTAGCAATTATATTTTACTAAATACTGAAACAACGTGACAATTCCATGACTCCAACGCTAGCTACTTGGTTTTCATGTCCTATGACAGTAAACCTGTACTATCTTCGAATTGCGACTAATTACGAAAAAATTTCTTTTAAAAATTGAATTATATCCGTCCTTTTTTATCGCAACTAGTTATTTTCGAATTTTTGTCATTATATCAGATTGCATGAAAAGGAAAAGCCGTGAGTCATTGGGCGTAAATACTACGTACACACGTAGGTATCAGACAGTCAGTCAATTGTGAGGGAGAATGAATGGGCGCCGTTGAACTGGGGTAGAAAACTGTCGCTGCGAGAGGGTTTCGAAGCCATAAGCGTACCCTCAGATATGTTAAATAATAATAAAATTGTGACAGGTTATTTATAGCCACTGGGTAAAAAAATATTGTGCAAAATATTTACTGTAATAGATTTACATCAAACAACCAAGTTTTAAATAGTAAAACTGAAAATGATAAAATTTCGAACACTAAAATATTGCTACCTTAACAGTTACAAAAAATCTTAATAAATAAAAATATGGATTTTAATGAAAACAGGTATCATTTCTAATTGAACCAAAAAAACTAAACTATTTTCTTTATTAATCAGAAACAATTGTGAGTCACTGGGAATACCCTCTTGATATTTTCAACGTGCTAGACAGAGGGTGTGTGTAATGCAACCCCCGCACGTACTCAAAACTAATACAAACGCCATTATTTACATAGACTATACACTCATACATTAAAATTTGTATCGTTCAAAAAACCCGATCTACAACTAAGGCTAGAGGGGTTTGATGGCGTACTACACGTGTTTAATATCAATTTGAAATTATTGCGATTGTGGAATAATATTCATTGTTAATATAAAAAAAGTTTTACAAGAGATTATTTCCAACAAATATGATGGTTGAATGTCGTTTATAGTACCAATTCATTGTATAAACCTGTACTGTTTATTCAACTAGAATTGCAGCCTTCAATCAGTAGAACGCCATTCATGTAAGATTAGAATTCTTGACTGGCAGATTGTTGCAATATTATTATCGTCAATATATATTTGTCCTCGGCAGATTTTAACGCGTAGTTGTACAAGTGAATAAAGAAAAGCAGTACTTGATAATAATTGATGATTGATGATAATCTTAAAGCATCGCTTATTGATTAGCGTCTAGAACAGATCAAGATGGAACAAATCTAGTCAAAAATTTTTGAAGGGTGAAAAATTGTCATACACTCAATTTTCTTAGTAATACGTAACATGGTTTAATATCCTTCGAACCGGATTTGAACCAGTGACCTATGGATCTCTGTTTATTATCATCTACAGTCCACCGCTCTACCAACTGAGCTATCGAAGGTATGAATAAACATTGAATAAACTGGAGCACTTTCTCCGTACGAAACATTTTAAAAACCAAATTAACCATATTACTATTACTAACTGAACTCTATTATAACTGATAGTTTTAACATCCTACTAAATTGAATTCCTCAAGGTAGGGTTCAAATTATATCGTGCATCAAAATCTGATTTAATCGCCTATTTGGGTCGTGTAAAGTGTAAGTAGGGAAGCACAGGTATTCATAATGAAGCGTCAGAACTTCAGCAGTTTATCTCGACTGTTTTCCCTATATGTTGGTTATGGTACAATTTAAGGAAATTGCCCACTGGAATTTAGGTCAAAAATCACGTAAAACATTAAACTCAGAAGCGCTTTAGCGTTAATGACTCGACTTATTTTAAAATGTAGATTCTTTGTTTAGATAATGAGCATTTTTCCTAAAAAGCTATAAAATAAACGATTGTTGAAATATTTTTGTAAATTGAAAAATGTAATCTACAGGCGAGTTTCCACTTCAAATAAATATGCCTAAATGATTTAAAATCGCACCTAAATAAAAAAATTTGTCAAAAATTTATCCTTCGAACCGGATTTGAACCAGTGACCTATGGATTACTGACTTTATCAAACTACAGTCCACCGCTCTACCAACTGAGCTATCGAAGGTGCTTTCACAAAATCCAGAAGCACTCTTGTAATTAAATCAACGAGACAAAAAAAATCTTAATAAATGCAACAATTTTTTAATCAAACTCTCCATTATCGTCTTTTTGCAAGATTGTGTGACAAGGTTTTTACAACATCGCGTCTTGTGGTGTTGTAATAGTTTAATGCACTTTAGCGCAACATTATATAATCGCAATACTATGGATAGAGTAAGAGGTGATATTACAGCATAATGTCTAACGTGTTTGCGGTCATACTACTATTTGAGAGTTGATTTCTATATGCATATACACAATTCGCGGTTTATTGTTGTTACACCCCCCTTATAATGCTTTTTTGATATTATATTGCTTTGCGATGGATACCGCAGGGGATTTGAGATCATAAAAATAATAGGGCATAAATAAGAACTTCGCTTTGTAAAACATTACTAGCATTTTGTTGAATACTAATGATGGTTGTTTTTTTTTGCAGGGGAAATTGAAGTAATTATTGTTGTTAGATTACGAAACTCGTAAATATTCTTATTAGTAGAAAATATAAAATCCAAGTGAGCGACATACATTTATGTGCTCAAAATTGCAAGACCTGAAAGCCAAAACGCACAAAAAGTGTTGTTAATCTATGAAACTTGTGATCTGAGCTTGGTAATATCATTATGATTAAAATATATTACTTTGATTCATCGGCAGATTTATGAAAAAGCAGTTAAATCAGTTTTTGTTTTTTTCTCTGAGCAAGATCGATAATTTGGATTTAAGACAGTTGCTATAGAAAATCCAGTTCCACAATTGGTAATATGTTACATATTGCAATAAACTTCTGAAAGTTGGTCCTTGCACCCCACAGTTTGGAAACCACTGATTTAAATATTCTTTGTATTAAGACACAGATACAAGAACTAATTTAAACTAATTTATCGCATCAATGCGTTTGGAAACCACTGATTTAAATATTCTTTGTATTAAGACACAGATACAAGAACTAATTTAAACTAATTTATCGCATCAATGCTCTTTCATCTTTTTCAAATTAAAATTGACTGATAGCGTCATAAATTTGTTTACCAAGGAAGTTTCAAATGTCTTTTTTTTTTCAAAGTTTCAAATGAATTTGCCTGAAAAATTACGTTTTGCCTGATCTTACATACAAAAGAACGATTTGACTGATATTCATACATACATGCATTGCTAGAACAATGAGTTTTGAACCGCAAGAATGTTTATCAAATATAATATGCTGATGGCTGTTTGTTTATCGTTCACAAGAGGACAATACGATCATCATATTACTCTAATGTGACTGTTGTCTCTGTTGACCGGAAATATGGGACGTGACTCACAAACACATTCGAACTCGAAATCACGTATAAAAGGTGTTCTTTACTCGATATAAAAAACATTAGCGTGTATTTTGTGTATAAATAACGTATAATGATGTACATGAGAAAGATGTATGGACCGTAAACAGTAGCATGTAATTTTAAAGGCACAATAATTTGATATGTACAAAGAAACCAACGGTATACACTAGAGGAAACATGATTGCTATATGTAATACGATTATCGGCTGAGCTTTGGGGAACAGAGAAAGCTCTGAAACAAAATAAGGATTGTCAGTTAAAAATCAATGTACAATAATACCCTGCTTAAAGCTGCTTCATTTAGCACTGTTTCGTTTTAGAGCTTTTATTTCAGTATA